ACATCCTGTCCCGAGCTGTAAACCAGCAGCTCCCAGGGCTTGGTCTACAGTGCTCAGAAAGACACATTGCCTTAACAGTCAGGCTAGTGCCCTAGCTCCAGTGGCCTCTGCAAATGAGGCCTTGCCAGTCATCAGTGGACAGACACATAGTATCCAGCACCAGGCCTTGGGCCTTCCTGCTTCCCAGAGTTTCACAGGTAGGACGCATGTGAGGGAAGTAGGCCATACTTCTGTTGGAGGATGGCTGTAGTACTTTCCAGGGCACTGAGGAGGAAACAGGACAGTTACCAGTCTGACTTCTCAAAGTCCCAAGCCCACCAGAAGCTGGTGAGCAGGGACATCGAAACTGGCTAGCCTTGTTATGCCCTGTTCATCAATCCATGATGAAACCTTCTGAATCCTAAGAAAGCCAGCAAACTTAATCCCACTCCAACTATCACTTCTCCAAACCTGGCCCACACTCCCTCAGGGCAAGATAGGAGGCACCATCTTTATCTTGTCAAAGCTTTTTTGCATCTCTCCAACCTCCCTCAAATTATTTCCCCACGCCACAGGAATGAGACTTACCAGCCTGGACGAATGATGCCAAACTTTCCGGGCACAGACAAATCAACCACAGTTGAGCCGAGGCGACACTCGGGGCTCTGGCCACCCCCAATTTGTCCCCCATCAATGACCAAGGACAACTGAGGCCAGAGATCCCGGAACTCCTGAGAAGAGGGAGAAGGAAGAGCATGGACACTATCCCTGGTGTATGCAATAATGTTAAACTGCACGCAGTCATCAAAGGCCATATAGTCTCAAAACAGAAGTCACTTCCTCCAAGCAAAGAAAGGAGCTTCATTTAGTTAAGGTCAGCTGTGCCAAGGACACTGCATTCTATGAGGTTTGGAGCCCTCCTGGGTTAGCACCCCAAGTAACACCTATCTAGGGCTTAAAGAAATCTTGCTATGGCCAAAGGAAATGTCATACATTGCTTCAGTTAGGAAATGTAAGTACAACGAATGGAGTTCTGGGCACAGATACGGGCTCTAACTCTGGACTTTCCATTGTATCTCTGTGTGACTGCACGCCAAGTTACTCTATCCAGGCCTACAAGACAAGTGGGCTGGACTAGATAATCCTATGTCTTCATTTGTTCTAATCTATGTAAGCCAAGACAGGATTAGGATGACCTTTTCTTTGCCCTGGCTTGGGGCAGAGATAGGAGAACAGGGTCAAGAGTCAAAAACCAGGTAAAAAGGCTGGGCACGGTGGCTCACACCTGTAATCCCAGCATTTTGAGAGGCTGGATCTCTTGAGGCCAGGAGTTTGAGACCAGCCTGACCAATACGATGAAACCCCGTCTCTACTAAAATACAAAAATTAGCCGGGTGTGGTGGCATGCGCCTGTAATCCCAGCTATTCACTCAGGAGGCTGAGGCAGAACTGTTTGAATCTGGGAGGTGAAGGTTGCAGTGAGCTGAGATGGTGCCACTGTATGCCAGCCTGGGCAACAGAGTGAGACTCTGTCTCAAACAAAACAAAACAAAACAAAAAAACTAGGTAAAAATCTGGTCACTTAATGACTGTGTGACCTGGAACAAGTGATTCCAGCTCCGTCTAGCTCTAGAACCATGCTCCTGGATCTCACTGCAACTCTGATCAGGGTATGAAGAATAGAACGTGGTAGATTCTGCACGCCACCAGCACTCAGTCTTTAGGCTATGAGAAGGATACTCCCCTAGAACAGTGGACTGAATTGTTAACTGAGCAAGAGCTTCCCCAGTCCCTCCAATGAAGACACTGCAGTGGCAGTTAGGCCTGGGAATCGGGGACAGGAAATCATAAATACCAGTTACCGTGTTGGACAGGTCAAATGACTGCTGACAAGGTAAAAACCTCCCCTCTCTGTGCCACATCCCGATTCTTGCTCCTGGGGTACAGCCACCAGGACCAAGTCAAACCTGCACTCTGAGAATGGGAAGGGATGCTGAACTCTCACTTTCCAAGAACCCTGAGCCCCACTCTAGGTCTGGGCATGGAAAACCCCATCGAATGGAGTTCTGGGCAGAGATATGAGCTCCAACTCTGGACTTTCCATCCTATCTCTGTGTGACTGCACGCAAGTTACTCTATCCAGGCGTATTAGCTGGATGTAATAAGCCCAAGGAAGCCCAAGGCCTGATGCTGGATACTATGTGTGATACTATGTCTCTGGCCCAGAGTCTGGGGACACAATGTAGCTTATAACTACGTTTTACATCTTGGTAATAAGAAAAAGAACTGAAATTTCTATGTGTCCTCCTTTGTTCTAATCTACGTAGCCAGGAAAGGATTAGGATGATCCTTTCTTTGATCTGGTTTGTGGCAGAGATAAGACAACAGGGGCAAGAGTCAAAAACTGGAGCCAGGCGCAGTGGCTCACGCCTGTAATCCCAGCACTTTGGGAGGCCGAGGCGGGCGGATCACGAGGTCAGGAGATCGAGATCATCCTGGCTAACACGGTGAAACCCCGTCTCTACTAAAAATACAAAAAATTAGCCGGGTGTGGTGGCGGGC